CATAGGGGTGCATATATCCTTTCTGATTGGTGTTTCTGGTTTCTTGGGATATATTCCTAGAAGTGGTGTTACTGGGTCAAATGGCAGTACCATTTTTAATGTTTTGAAGAAACTCCATACTGTTTTCCACAGTGGCTGCACCAGTCTGCATTCCCACCAGGTCTCTGGTTGTTTTTATTTTTCTATTAGAGCCCTTATTACACATATCAGTCATTTTAAATCCTATTTCTGATCATTCTAACATGTGTGTCATATCTGGGTCTGATGTTTGGTTTGCTCCTTTTTTTCTTGCCTTTTATCATGCTGGGTAATGTTCTTGTTAAAAGCGCAAGAGGATGTATCAGGTAAGAGAAACTAAGGCAAATGCCATTAGTGTGAAGTTTCATCTTAATCTGGCTAGGGTTTGGCTGCAAATGTGTGTGATCACTATGGATGCTGGAGGTTTCAAATGCCTCTGGTATCTTTGTTTTGCTCTCCCATTTTCTTTGCCCTTCCCTAGAAACTACTCCTACATAAAGTCTGTTTCTCCTGAAGCTCTTAAAGCTTTAATCTACTCTTATTATCTTGAAACCCTGTTGGTGTGGTAGTAAGGTGTTCAGGGGAAGCATTTCATAATTTTATAATTAAACTTCAGATTTGCAGTGGACCTATGTCACAAGTGTTTCTTAGCTTCATCCCACCCTTAGGTAAGATAGACAGGCCAGAGGGGCTAACGTTGAGGAAATGTCCTGCCCCTAGCTGGAATGGAGCTCTGGTAAACTATTTTTCCCCAAAAGTATGACTTTTTAGAATACAGTCTGGGAATATTTCAGAATGGTTACTGTACCAGAGCAAAAAGGGAAACTTTCTTGGCTCTTCACTATAAGAAAATGATGAGGTTACTGGAGGTAAAGTCCCCCAAAGAAAAAAGTGTTTGCATATCATTTGGCAGCATGCAATATTTTTGCAAAACAGCTGAGTTCTTCATGTTCTACATAGCACTAGTACAGTGCTAATTTAAAGCTGCTGGTACCAAGCTTAAGTGGGCAGCACTAAACTGAATTTTCTAAATTCATTATCCATTAGAGCTTAAGGAGAAAACTGTAGACAAATCTGAATTCTAAACTGAATTTTCTAAATTCATTATCCATTAGGGCTTATGGAGAAAACTGTAGACAAATCTGAATTCATGTAGATTGACAAAGGCCATTATTTTTAGAATACTAAAATAACTACTAGGTGAATTTTCTGGTGATACAGTTCATTGTAGATGAAGCTTTATATTTTGCTCACACCCTGACAAACGAAAATGTGGGATTAAGACCCTAAAGTAAAGCAGAGCAAAGATGAAGCACATTAGAGGGGAGCCAGACAGCACAGTAACTGAGCCCAGTACTGTATGGGAAAGCATCAAATGGGCAGAGTTATCCACTCTGAAAAGATGCAGGTGGGTACAATTTGTTTTACAGTAGATGCTTTTATCAAGTTCCAAACTCAGAACCTTAAGAATACTTTAAATAAATCAAGTAACGATATGGATAGAAGTGAGGAAAAAGTAGCGACTGGAAAGAGGCACAAAAGAAGGCCTGCGGGTGCTGGTTACAGCTCAGTTTCTTGATTGGGGTGCTGGTTATATGTTTGTATCCAGTTTGTAAAACCTTATCAGGTTATACCCTTAAGATATGCATACTTTTCTGTATGTAGATTTTTAATTAAAAAAGTATGAATAAGAACCATCAGAAAACAGATAATAAAAAACAGACCCTTTGCTCATTTAAATATCATATCATATTTAAATGAGCAAAGGGATAAAATAACTATTCTCACTATGTTTTTAAAATTTTTTCAAACCTTCAAAATATCTACAATGTGTAGGCAGCGTCTAAATTGGTTCCCACCTCATCGTATTCATACCCTTGTACAGTCCCTCTCTTTATGTGTGGGCTAGACCTAATGAATAGAACGTGTAAATGTGATGAAATGTCAGTTCCTAGATTCAGCTGTAAAAATACTTTACTATTATCTCTCTTTCTCTCTCAGCCTTTTACTCTGGGAAAAATGAGCCACCATTTTATGAGTAGCCCTCTAGAAAGGCATTATGGCAAGAAACTCATTTTTCCAGTCAACAAGCTGCAAGCACCTTGTGAGTGAGCTTGGAAGCATATCCCACTCACTTAGTCTAGCTTAAAATAATTGCAACACTGGCCAATAGCTTGATTCTAGCTTTATGAAAGATCCAGTCAGAGGTACCTAGCTAAGCCACAGCTGGATTCCTGATCCACAGAAAATGTGAGACAATAACTATTTGTTACTTTAAACCATTAAGTTTTAAAATTATTTCTCATGCAGCAATAAATAACATACATGCGGGGAGAAGTAAACTACACAAAATTACCTAGCATCTTTAACAAGTAAATAAATGCAAACTCTAAAAATTTAAAAATGCAATAAAACAGAATATTCAACTTAGTAGATTTAACAGCAAATTTGACATAGTTGGAAAGAGAACTAGCAAAGTGGAAAGGAAAAAACAAAACAAAAGCAATTACCAGAATACAATCCCAAAAGACAAATAATGAAAATAAGTTATGGAAGATATTAGAGTCAATGATTGAATATTCTCATACTTTCAAAAGTATCCAGGTAATTGAAATAAAACAAACATATTATGAGTGAATTACTAATATGCGGTGTTGTCTGACTACATAATATATAGTTTCTGGATTATGTCTAGATTCTCCATTTCCCTATCAACTACTGATACCCAGCATGAGGCTATTGATACTTTAAACATGGCTTCTAATTTCCAGAAGGATTTATTGGCTAATGATCAAGAGGAGAGAAACTGCCATTTGTTGATCACTTAACATATGCTTTTAACTAATCTAGGTACCTTATAGAGATAAGCATATTTACTTCTCACAATGGCCTATGGAGTGAATACAATTGCTCTCTTTGTACAGATAGATATACTCAAGTTAGACGGATAGACAAGCATGTCCCAAATGTCAGAGTCTGGGAATTGATACTTCCACAGAAGGGACAATTCCAGAACTCTCAAAGTATCCTTGAGTTAAATGAACTCAAAGTTTGCAAGGAGTATTATTTTAACAGATACAGCACCACACCTGTCAAAACTGGACTCCTGCTTATGCCAGTCATCACTTTCTCTTGTTGTTGGATTGTGAGGAATTTGTTCTGGGGAAGCCTTTGATGGTAGCAGGGACAATAAAATAGCTCTAAAAAGCATATACTGGTATTTACTAACTGGTGTGAAGCATTTCAATACTATAACAACTGACACCATTGTCAACATGCTGAAAAATAAGTCTGTGGACTCTTTACGACTCCAAATCTGTGAGTATGCAGAAACATAATCAAGACTAATCACACAAGCTATGTGATTGAATAAGCAGGACGGGTGAAATGTGCCCATTTTAGTTCTCAGTGATTGGCTATGACTGTTTCAATGTTAATTCAGCTAAACATAAGATGTAAGTCAGTGCTTTTCAAATGTTTAGCCCAGTGTCCCTAGAATGTGGTAATAGGCCTCTCAATCACATAGAGACTCTTTGGTGAGCTACTTCATGCTAATAACTATGATACCTGGAGTCTTGGTGATGTAATCCTTAGTGTATTTAATAACCATCAATTAGAAGGTGACCTGCATTATTAAGTGAGCACATATTGGACTACCCATCAGCGTAGTGGATAGATCGCAGCATGTGGCAAGGTTTTATGGCACACTATACAAATCACAGATTTTAATGAATTACTGGAACTGTATTGCACAATGATTTAATATGTTTAGCTCTGGTCCTTAATAAGTGATAAAAACAAAGTGATTTTAAAATCACCATATTTCTTGCTCTCTCTCTTTTCTCCTTCTGGCTCCCCCATGATGCGAGTACTGGTAAACCTGAAGTCGTGATAGTGTAATTTACACTATCCTCATTTTGGGGGATTCTAATGCCAGATAGTTCAGTTCCTTCCATAAGTCCCTGGAGCCTTTTGAGCTCCTGCTGCAGTGCTGGAACTCAGAAGGAGTGTGGCCAAGTAAGTCTGTGGACAGGCCCCTTAAGAGAAACTGCTTGGGACTCCAGAAGCCCTCCATCTTACTCAGTGTCGTGATAGTGTAATTTACACTATCCTCATTTTGGGGGATTCTAATGCCAGATAGTTCAGTTCCTTCCATAAGTCCCTGGAGCCTTTTGAGCTCCTGCTGCAGTGCTGGAACTCAGAAGGAGTGTGCCCAAGTAAGTCTGTGGACAGGCCCCTTAAGAGACACTGCTTGGGACTCCAGAAGCCCTCCATCTCACTCAGCCACACTTCCCACTGGTTTTTACAGTCAGAAGTGATGGGGACTTCTCTTCCTGGCACTGAAACCCGGGTTGGGAGGCCGGTATGGGTCTGGGACCCCTCACTCGTTAGGAGGCCTCCACATGCAAGATTTTCTTCCTGATATTTATCATCACACTTGGGTGTGGGACCAGCTCATTCAGCATCTCCACTCCTCCTACCGTATCAATGTGGCTGCTTCTTTATATCTTTAATTGCAGGACTTTGGTTTAGATAGATTTCAGGTGGTTCTGAATAACGGTTGTTCTATAGTTTAGTTATAATTTTAATGTAGTTGTGGGAGGATTCGAGTGCCGCATTTACCTATGCTGCCATCTTGACCGGAACTGATATAATATTGATTTATTAAATTAAACATATTCACACACATTCAATAGTTCTTTTTATAAAAATTTCATGGGAAGTCATTTTGCTTTCCCTTGACATTAATAATAAAAAAAGTATCACATTTCTTCCTCAATAGGCTCCTTCCAATCTAAGTAGGTAGAAAATACCTCTACTGTTACAAAGGTTTCATCTTCTACCCAAAGGAAAACAAATTGTCAAAATGTCAATAGCCTTAGTTTTCCCACAGATAACTAATATTTTAATAAGAGGAACTTGTATTTGGAGTAGTTGGAACATAAAACTTAGAATTGACATTTAATGTGGGGGCTACTCACCACTCTTGGCTTACAGTTGTAATAGCAATGCTTGGAAGTGTTGTCAAAGGCAGCGTGGTTGGTCTGGAAATGCCATCGCCATCAGGGGTCCTGGCCCTTTCACTCTGCCTTTGGGACAGTGGTGGTAACTGTAAGTTTCCTGAGCAACACCGTCTCCCTCTCCAGAGGTCAATCCCAAGTGTGTTACTAGAACTGTAGGATTTACTCAAGGTACACTCAAAATAATCTTTAACATTCTGGAGGATCCACAGGGGAAGAAAAAAAGAAGAGAGAGAAAAAAAGAAAAATCAAATGTTAAAAATGATGCACAGTGGAGTAAAATAAGAAACTAAATGATCAAGTTGTCACTCAGAAAGTCCCGATTCATTATCCCACAATCGGAATCTAACATTGATGTCAAAAGCTTAAGAGAGAACAAGAGAGAAGGAGGTTAATTCTCAAATTTTAGAATAATATATCAGTTGCATATTCATGGTGATCTTTAGGACTGCAAGTAATATTTCCCATTTATGGGAAAATTTTGAGATGTTTCTTTCTTTTGCTTTGTAGTTGCCTTTTATTTGCTAAAATGAAAGCTTATAATTGGGAAAAAAAAGTAGAAAATCAATGATATTCCACAACATAGGAACAATCTTTTCTGGCTAAAGTATAAAGTTCATAGCTTAGTGTTTTAAAGTAAAAATATTTTCTATCATAGGATAGCAAAATGGAATAATTATGGAATTATGGCTGACTACTATTTTTGTTCCAATAGAAAGTCTTCTCAGGATTGAGATTTTTTTTTATTTTGTTTTTTTCTGTGTGTGGTGTGTGTGTGTGTGTGTGTGTGTATGTATGTGTGTTTATTGCACACATTATATAAGCACTGAGAGAGAGAGGAGTTTAATTAATCAAGTTCTTAGCTGGACTGCAATGTTTGATACTTGCCCTAATGTTGACATAAATGAAATTATTGTGAGAAGATAAAAGCACTGTCCTATCACCAATGATTAGAGTTATTTATTCTTCCTATATATCTTTTGGTGACTGTGGTTCCTGGTCCTGTTGGGAGTGGGGATCCCAAATGAATTATTGCCTGGTTTACCATCCAAACCAGCTCAAAGACAGAAAATGTTACAGCACCTCAAATGGCCACTGATAGCAGTTTGGAGTTTGAAAGATATAATTGTCATTCTGTACTCTTATCTTAACAGGGAATAATGGAAGTCTTACCATCAGGCCAAGGTCTCTCACTAGAAAATCAGTATGTGCCTTTAAAAACAGCAGGTACTTCCTACTAACCCTTCCAAGTAGACTTAGGAGACCTAGGACTAGACGTCCTGAGGTTTAAACAAACAAACTTCTCTGCCCCCACTCCTCCACCCATCCTGGTTTATACAAGAATAATTAACTCACGTTTAAGGGTCCAACTGTGTTCATTCAACAAGTATCTGTTGCACACCTATTATAGTTTTGCACTGTGCTATTTAAGAAAGCTACAACAGCAAAAAAACAGCATAGTAAATGTTCTCATAGAGATTGCACTCTAGAAATTTATACTTTCTGATCTGCATAGGACATTTTGCTGATGGAAATGTAGGCAAGAATAGGCCTGACAATTTGCAGGGGCCTCACTTGCCCTGCTAAAATGGAATATAATCATATTTTCTTGTGCTTGGAATATAATTATGGTTTTGGAATACAATTTATTTGAGATTCCATAGAAACACACTTCAATAACAGGAAGAAACAAAACAATCTAGAATTTCCTGCAGTTTGAAATAGTCTGGAATGTATTCAGCATTTTACTGTTCAGTAACTGGTTGTTATATTAAATGCACTGTAGACCTAGCATTTACTGTATTAGTGTGTCCGTGTGTGTGTGTGTGTGTGTGTGTGTGTGTGTGTTACAAATAAGAGGCTGAGGTGAAAACGTAGAAGAATTAAGTTTATTTCTCAAAAAACACTCAGACTCGTTAAGAAGACAGAATATACAAAGTCTTCCTAAAGAGAGATTAAAAAAACAAACTAAAATTCAGAACTCATAACTATAAATCAGTTTAGCTCCAAATTTGCATGTAAAGAAAGTACTGATTATCTGCAAAGCAAAGTCTTAAGACTATACTTTCCCTCCTATGCAAGAAATACTGTACCAGAGAACAGAAACAGGTATATCATTAAGTTAAATACCAACAATCATAGTCTCCCAATAAATTGGATATTTTTTCTCTTTTAGAAAATGGGAATATTATCAACTAGGCTTTAATATTATAGCAAATGAACTAGGTACTTATTTGACACATGTTATTTGAAAAGTAACAAAGTCACACCTACCATAAAATATCCCCCCCACTGACTTGCCAAGAGGCTTGAATTTACAGATTTAAAGTCGTAAGTTGAGTTAAAGGAATGTGTTTGAAAAAATCTTAGTCAATGATGAAAATACATTACCATAAATGATCATAATGGAAAAAAGCTTTTTAGAAATTAAGTTAAATACTGGAAACATTAACAGTGGTTTAAAATGCTAATTAGCCCATGTAGAGTTTTTCATAATTTCCTAAAGCTCTCTAATTTATACTTATAATTTATACAGTACTAATATTTTCAAAGGCAAAATCTAATTCGATTAATTCTCAACTACTGAACTTACGACCTAGGACTTATTTTCTTGTAACCAGCACAACTCTAGCTGACACTACACCACTCATCGCATCACAGATCTGGGGGAAAGGAACAGTCATTTGAATGTGTCCTTTGGAAATCACAAATTTTAAAATGTATCACACTGACTAAAATTAACTTACGTCTTTATAACCCTAATGGAAACACTCAGTTTTGAATCATCCTCATCTTCTTGGCTAATCCTTGTTTAAAAATCAATATTTTTGCTAATGTAATTCCAAAAGGTTATCATAAAAGAAGAGCTAAGGTGAAACCCTGCACTTTGGTAGGAAAAATTTGGAGGGAGGAAGAAAGGGAACACCAAAGGGATTCTTTGTCCTATCCCCATATTAAAACTTACCTTAATGTCAGGACCACTAAAGTGTCCACATGTCAGTGCCTAAGTAGTCAAGGCTTTGTTGTTCCTGCTGTTGTTTGTCTTTTGTTTAGTGTATTTCAGTCATTTTTAGAGCTTGCTCTAATTTTGGAATTTTTATGATTAGACTCATAGTGAGAAAATGGGATTAGGTATTTCCAAGGATATATAGTGTGCTTACATACACATTCAATTTGAATAGTAGGCCAGCAAATGTTATCGAAACTAGAAATGGGAAGTATTGGAAGCATTAAATGACCCTCAGGGCCCTCATCTTTGACTGTGCAGTGCATATAAGAATTTTGCAAATTCTTATATGCAACCTTCCCATCTTTTGACTGTGGCAACAATGGCCTCAGGGAGGATCGGGATTATAACTGGAGGATGAGATGAAAGTGAAAGAGCAGTTATCCATCTTTTAGATGGCATGCATTGCTTAGTTTTATTCTTCCAGAAAATAGAATCTTGGAGCACACAGTATACAAATAGTACTAATGAATAATTCCAAGTTGATTTTTTAAGAGAAAAGGGATTTCTAAATTCCAGAAGTTTCCCTTTAGATATCCTGAACGGAGCATGAATGTCTAAACACAGCTTTCACTGTCTGTAACTGAGAACATGGACTATGAATTAAGGGACATTCCCTTGTGGTCAAGCAACAGGAAAGGGGGAAACAAAGAAAGAAAACATGGTCATGGATAATGGGAACAGAACACTCATGAGATCCCTTAACAATAAAAAGTAGAAATAGCGATGGCAAAGGAGTATGTATTGGAGGACAAGAGCCTCATAGCACGCCTAAGTCTCCTTCTGCACTTGCAGGTCCTAGACGTCCCCACAGCCATAAAGGGACACAGAAGGTAGCTGAGAATTAGCCTCTGCTTCCCTGTCAATAACTTGCTGCAGCCTGGGGCAAAGGGACCAGGAGTCCATGAGGTGAAGAGCCCAAACGTTAAGGGCTACCCGAAAGCAGGGCTGAATCTTTTAAACAACCAGATCCCCCACTGAATACTTAGGTAAAGAGCCCAGGAAGTGGAGGAGAAGGTCAAACTCTAAGTGAACTGAGACGTTGCACTGCTCATGCAGAGAGCACCATCACCTGCTACCCCTGTCACAAGCCGAAGCAGCGCTGGACCAAGGGCAGAGACTAAACAACCAAAGATCTGGGGAAATGAACTGTTCCTCAACTGGACAACAGCAAACACTAGCAGAAAAGGAACATGCAGGACAAGGACAATATCACACATATGTTACCACAATGCTAATTATTGTTAAGTCTGTCCCTTTGCCCAATGGCACGTGATTAAAGGGGAAGAATGAGAGCTGGGAAAAATCCTGAAAGACTGGGACTTTATCTAAAAGATAACATTTTACATCAACCTGCAAGTTCAAGTTACTTTCAGGCCCTCCCCCACCTGTGAAAGAGGAGTTTAACAACAACAAAAAGTGAGCTATTGCAGAGAACAACGAAAATTACTTTCTTTTCCTCCCTCCCTCCCTTCCTTCTGCAAATCTGATTAGTGGCATATAACTTTTAACTCACAAACATAAACTGAGTAAAGACTGGACAATTAAAGATACTCTAAAGGGGAACTGATGAATAGAAAACAAAGGAGATACTTCATCTTAGGTGTCCAAGATGCAAGGCTCTGAAGATGGTGAGTTTACAGACTTCTCCAGATGACATGGGACAGGGTTTCTCAAACATACTATACATATCTAGTCACCCTAGGATCTTGTTGAAATACAGTGTTATCTGTAGTTCTGAGGTGTGGCTGAGACTGCATTTCTAAAAAACACCCAGGTAATGCTGCTGCTGCTGCTGTAAGGACCACACTAACCAAGACCCAGAAGACGTATGCATCACAAACTTCTAATGAGCAGTTGTCAAAGACCCCCAACATAGGGGGTGACTCTCAAAGGTTAGTTGTATGTGAGTAAAAGTGTGAAAGAAAGTCATCATAATGCAGGCAGCATGACAAGAGGAGTTTCTAAGAGTTAGGTTGTGGGCGTGCACCAGAGATTGATGGTTTGGGGAATGAAAACCATAAAGCTCAAGTGGAACCCATCTCCAAGCTGCAGCAAGGGCAGCGCTCCTGCTGTCCACCTCGAAGAATACTGGGTGCAGGTGCTGATAATGTCTGGGTCGTAGAAACACTGAGTGACAAAGTGGTGGTGCTAAACGTCCTTGCCTATCCTTCGTACAGAATTGTGGAGTGACTCCTTTAATGAGCAGAGAAAAGGTGGATGGAATCTCTGACTTTTGGAACTTACATCATCTGCCGTCACTGTCATCACACTCCTGCTTTTCTTCATTATAGAGACGAAAAATTTCCCTTCTCAGGATGCCTATTGTTCAGGGTAGCTTTGCTGACAAGTTTTAAGACCTACAAGGGGAAGAAAGACACACAAAATGAACAGTTTGGTATCCTTAGTCAAATATAAATTTGCATTCTCCAAATGAACATTTGAATGCACGCAATATACATGCACAAGTAAATATCACAATTTAACAAGTCAGTGCAATCTGATATGTGAGAAAAGAGGTTCACAAAATCCAAAAATCCAAGAAATAAGTGCAAAGCTATTTGGGAAAAGAGAAAATTGTGATAACTGGGCTCCCAAATAACCAATGATCATTAAGAATGTAGATAAAATGTATATTTGTAAAGGTTTTTATTCTTTAACAGTTATACCTCATACAATATGTCATTTGATTTCCATAAAAGTCTGTGAGATTGTTTTCTTTTTTTTTCTAATGAGAGAACAGAGGATCAGGAAAATCATTTGGCCAAGGTAATAGCTAAGACATGGCAGATTTAGGCCTTAAGAAATATGATCCCTTGATACTATTGTCAAAAAGGGGGGGGGGGAATACACCAATACAAAAAATATACATGGTTAAAAAATTCTTAATTTCAATTTTACTATTAGTTTAAACCTCACAGATGAATAGGTACTTGGGCAAGTATTCATCACAGAGAATTTTAACAACCAGTAACTAGAAAAAGCTAGAATTCCCTGATTCATATCACACACACCTGGGCATTTTGAGGTAGAGACACTGCAGTTCATGACGTTTGTTTTGTGTAGATCAACAACCTCAATAACTACCAAAATGTAAGGGTGCATCCTAGTTGCGGAAGCTCAAAAGGAAAACTCAGGCTATTAAAACAGGCCCAAATTTAAAGCTGAGCCATCTGATAGCCTTTAAGAGAATATGAAGAGTTCTGAGTTTGCAGAATTAAACTGGAAAAGATATGCTGTAGAAATCATCAAATCCTTCAAGAACCACTTGTCCACATGGTGATTTCTCAAGATCCCGGTAAAGAAAATGTCCTGCATTTCTGCTTAGCTCAAGAAGCTCCTGTTTTTTTTCACTCTGTGTATTTAAACTCTTAATGCATGCCTGATTTGAAAAGTCTGCTTCTAGAACATGAAGATATATATAGATGAAGAGCGTAATGAAATGGTAGCTGTGTGACTGGGAATACTAAGTAGTGGCATTGTAGCATCACCCAGGAAACCAGGGTTGAATCTCTACCACATAATTTGACTATATTATGCAGGAGTTGGCGACAAAACTGAGAATAGATATGAGAGTGGGGGGAGGGAGAAACTTAACCTTTATAGTGTTCTAGGGAGAGAGCCCTATGGGCTTTTCAGGGATTTGATTCCATAGTTCAAGAAAAAGAATTTCCTCAGCATACAGCAAGGAATGTTTATAATTGCTGAATTCTTCTAACACTCTCCTAACAGGAGTAGGCAAAATTTCAGGGCTTGCACTCAAAGGCTGCTTGAAACCTAACAAAAGTAGACAAATAGCAGGTATTTTATCACAATTACTATCTTGAGTGCCTCTGTGAGGTGGAACCCAAAAACGAAAGTTTATGCTGCTAAGTTCAATAAGAAGGCAAGATTCAAAATTCAAGGTTCACATGCAAGTCATAAAATTACACCCAATGATTATAATTCTATAAAAATACAGGCATAGAAAAATATTAAATAACCTATGGATTTTCTATGAGTTATAGGAGGTTACCTTTCTTTTTAAAATTTTTCAAAATGTTGTGATATATTATTTTATGAGCCACAAGATATATATAATTCTCATAAATTACATGAGACTATTAACTTATTTTAAAACAATCCTATTTCTACAAAACTTAGTGTTTCATATATTTGGGGTCAGTTTTTTTTGTGAGATAAATGATATATACTTATCTTGGATGAAGAAATGAAGGAATGGCAATAGGCTAAGACCAAAGTCTTAGGCCATAGCTAGTTGACAAATTATGGTATCCTAATATCTTCTAGGAGCATGCCAGCTGAACTCATACAGTTAACAAAATAGATGCAGCATTATGAAATATATACAACTGGTAAGTTTAGCATCAGGACTATCAAGATACAAATGTGCCCTAACCGGTTTGGCTCAGTGGATAGAGCGTCGGCCTATGGACTGAAGGGTCCCAGGTTCGATTCCGGTCAAGGGCATGTACCTTGGTTGCGGGCACATCCCCAGTGGGGAGTGTGCAGGGGCAGCTGATGGATGTTTCTCTCTCATCGATGTTTCTAACTCTCTATCCCTCTCCTGTCCTCTCTGTAAAAAATCAATAAAATATATTTTCTTTAAAAAAAGATACAAATGTTATTGTACTCAAAGAGTCATAATTAGTAGGGTATATTTCTATGAATAAAATAAGAAAAGCAAAGTGACCTCTAACAAATAATTTCATAGAATAAATTAGTAGGAAACATCTATGAGGCAAAATTTACTTTTTATCTTACATTCACATTGCTTGGCAGGAAATGCACTTAAAAATAGGATTAAACAACACAACTGGAGTAGAAATCTCTAGGCTCTCTTCAGAGAAGGAACAATGATCAAGTTTGCCCAGCAGAAATGAAGAGTAAAACCTGAACTATCCCTTCTTAGACTTGTGCAAGGCATGATGGGATACAAATAAAGCTCAAAGCAAATCCAGCCCCCAAGAATTTTAGGTTTAGTTAGAGAAGAATATACTTTGCTGCATAGTAGGTGCTCAAAAATATTTGTTAAATGAGTAATTAAAAATATAATTAAATACTGAAATCCTATTTGTGAATAAAGCTCTTCTAAGATGAAAACTCTCCTCAGATGAAATAATTGGTGTTGGGTTTCAGGAAAAACTTCAGGGAGGAAATCAGGTTTAATTGATTTCAGAGAGAAAGAGAGAGAGAGGGAGAGAGAGATAAAAACATGAATGATGAGAGAGAATCACTGATTGGCTGCCGTCTGCACACCTCCTACTGGGGATGGAGCCTGCAACCTGGTTATGTGCCCTTGATGGGAATCGAGCCCAGGACCCTTCAGTCCACAGGCCAGTGCTCTATCCACTGAACCAAACCAGCTTAGGCAAAATGAGATTTCCTAATAATAAAAAGTAGAATTTGTTTAGTGGAGATAATGGTATGCAGAAATAGGGAAAGAAATTTAATATACTGAGTATGATACATGTACGAAGATACCATGCTAAGGAAATTGATGACAAGCAGAAAGATAAATTTATCCGGGGAAACACCAGGAGATGTTTTGGCAATCTAGAGGATTTTTGCCAGGCCTTAGCCATGGAAATAAATTTAAGTTTTGTGACACTTTGAGTGTGAAAGCTTATCAGATAAATCCATGGGCCTTCAACTGGGAGCAAGCCTGGCTAGGAAAAGCAGGATCTCAAGTAACAAGGCAATTTTCCAAATGTTCTACATTTTAAAATGTATTATTCTATATTCAGAAATAAACCCCAACATCTGTTATGTAAAATAAAACAAAAAAGAAAAGAAGGACAGATTTTTTTCTGGATATTCCTCGTTTGACATCCTTAAGTCTACTCCTCTGCCTGTGCCCCAGGAGACTGGTCCTCATGTTGTACACAGTTAGTCAGGCCAAAACAGAGCAAGGACAATGGACCAGGTACCGAAGGTCACCAGGATGGAAAACCTGGGGTGCCTAGCAATGGACAATCAATTGTAGGGTGGGCCCTAGTCCACAGGGTGACTTTTCCTCCCCTAGCATATCACTGGTCATGAGGTTTGGATACCCTGACCTTTTCCTCCCTAGAAATACCATCTAGGCCTCAGTTGTATTTCAGCTCCAGGCCCAGATAAGCAACAAAACCAGCCTCAGGACCAGCTGCATTGAGTAATGATGCCCCTGCCCTAGTGCTGGCCAGTCAATCAGTGGAGACCCAACCCTGAAAGACCCAACCCTGGAAAACCGCTGCTATTCTATTAAGATCTTTCCCTGGCACCTCTCCTAAAATCTCCACCCTTAAGACCCTTAGGATGGAGGACCCAGCTTACTCACCCTCCCAGGAGCACGCTATGCCTTTCCCTTCCCCTTCCCCTATCCCCTCCAGACACATTACCATTAGCTTCCTCACTCCCAAGCTCCAAGGGCCCTTTTTGTACCTCTATAACTTGTTTCCTAAGCCCATTTAATTTAGGAATTACTTCTACCTCTGCCATTTACCCAATATATACTCTCTTACAGTTTGGGTCTTGCTCTGAATTCTTGCCTAGCTGGAACCCAAGTACCGAGGTTGTTGAATCCAGGTTTGGTCTGACCCCATCAGTCACACACCTGGTGTGGTTCCCACCACCTACAATACTCAGAGACTACTGTGCCCATGGCTCCCTAGCCCTCTGGACTGAGTATGTTCAGCCAATGGGAAATAAAAGACAACATATTGAAGGACAGGAGAAAAGAATGGTCCCTCCTTGCTGGCCCTGGTGTAGCAGTGGCTAAAGTCCTCTAAGTCACAGCCCTACAGGCAACCCTCTTCTAAGGTGACAAGTTTCCCTGGGTTCCATTAACTAATGTCTCCACTTAACCCTTCAGATATAAGGCTGGTAGCTCTTTCCATTGTTGCTAGCCTTAAGTCAGCGGTTCTCAACCTGTGGGTCGCGAATGACCCTTTCACAGGGGTCGCCTAAGACCATCCGAAAACACATATATAATTACATGTTGTTTTTGTGATTAATCACTATGCTTTATGTTCAATTTGTAACAATGAAAATACATCCTGCATATCAGATATTTTTTTTTAAAAAAAAAATGTCAAGCTTTAAATATTTACTTTAAAAAATTTTCCTATTTCATTTATTTTTTTAAATATTTTTTTATTGATTTTTTACAGAGAGGAGGGGAGAGGAATAGTTAGAAACATCGATCAGCTGCCTCCTGCACACTCCCCACTGGGGATGTGCCCACAACCAAGTTACATGCCCTTGACCGGAATCGAATCTGGGACCTTTGAGTCCGCAGGCCGACGCTCTATCCACTGAACCAAACCGGTTTCAGCTGCATATCAGATATTTACATTACGATTCATACCAGTAGCAAAAT